TAAACTACCAATGGAAATGCATCAAGCAAGTACATTGGCCTCCTTCGAAAAGGCTCTTAATGACGAACTACAAAAGTTTTCAAACGATAATAGTTCTAGTTCCTATCTGAGAGCCTCCGAAATTATAGGTCCATTTAACGTATAAGCTTAAATACTACACCTGTTGTTTTTTGCCTATATTTATAATTTAAGATAAAACATTAACGGTTAAGCTACTTACCCTCAAACAGACAAGAAATCTCGTTTGTAAACCTTCTACCCAACACAATAAGTGGAATAAAATGGACATAAACCGACAACATGAAAAAGGTATAACTCACCACAACATCACATGGACAGATCTACGCTCGTTGGGCACCATATATTCCTCACCAACTACAACCCGCCTTTCCTAAGATAATGTGATGAACTTATATCCATAATGTTTCTGAGCAGTTAATATTCTCAACTCCTGGCGGAACAGCTGAAATTCATAAACCTTCCTCACGCTAAGAAAATACCCACGAGCAGTAGAAATACATTAATTAGTGGGTCTAAAGCTTATGTAATTACTCCCAACAATGACATTGCAGATCAAATGAGATAAACACATCACCGATTTCAAAATAACACATCAATGAACTACAATTCGAGGACTCTGCACACAACAAAGTGATGTATGGAAATTGACTTCAGGCTTTAGTTTTTCCCAGGCACTTATAATCCATCCACCAAAGACCTGGCTTTTTTGTTAATGCGAAGACAATACTTCGTATTTCCTGATGTGTTGCACTCACTGACAATCTAGCAGACTTTTCCAACTTTGCACAGAAATGATTGTATATAAGTGAAAAGGCTGTTTTATACTACTGGGATTAACATTTATCAAGTGTATGTATGATCTCCAGCGGACATGTAAAGCATATCTTGCTACTGCCTGTAAATTGTGATTGAATTATATGGTTCTATTTCTGTAACAATTTGATGATGCCTGTAAACTGGCGTCCCTCATGTACCGTACTATGAGAATAAATTTATTTATTTATATATGAATTTATAAATACGTAAGGAGGCATTCGACACGTGGCGGATGTGGTCATTGACACTTTCTATTAGTTTATTGTCTAAATCTTACTGTTGTTTGTTAATATTTGTTATGTGAATTACAATTCATTCCGCCAAATACAAATTCCTAAATTCATTCCTCTCTGTGTTGTTGGTTGATTTCCTGTAATTCGGTCATTGCGAAATGCTGCAATTACAAATAATTTCAACCGCCTGCCTGCTTACATCACTGGGCTACCCAAATCTTCATACATCGTATTACTTAAACTCTCCTGTATTTCTCATTATTTTAATCGTCCAAATTTATCCTGCCTGTGGCTGGCCAAGTAAAAGGCCGCCCTTTTTGTGTGCGTCGGTGGCACAGTGGTTAGGGCTCTCGCCGACCATGCACATGGTCCGGGGTTCGATCCCCTGCCGGTGCACACCCGATATCTATGGTAGGCCTGAATTTGGGCTAACCGATATCCATGCTGAAAATTCCATACTTGTACTGAAAACACGGTGTGGAATCAAGCTGTAAATGAAAAAATTAAAAATTAAAATTAAAAATTATATTGAACGACCAGAACATGAACTCGCGCGCTTATATGCTTCTGCGCTGAGAGATTCTTGAAGGAAATGAAAAAAATGTACAGAATCGTATTCGTCTTCATATGCAACAAAGCCACGTCACATGGTGTAGTTCAATAAATTACTTTACATGTAAATCATCAGACCTTAAACAAGATTATTTAAGTACCTCATTTACATAAGGTAAGAAGAGTAGAAAGCTAAGGATCACACTTTGAGGAACGTGACTATTGACTGGTCTACATGACGACACGACTGCTTCAAATCTTAGCTGACGTTACCAATATGGAAAGATATTTCTGAATCAAGACTCCCACCAGTTTGTGTAGAAACATATCTAAAGACAGAATGACTGATCCCAACAAATCAAAGAACACGGAAAAAAGCTAGACCATTGCAATGTACTCACTCACATTAAATCACATTGTTGGGTGAAATAAGAATAAAGTCTTAAAAACCATTATTGTTCGGCGGACAGGGTGGTTAGTTACCGAGTCTTTGTTCATTGAATAAACGTCAAACGCAGGTATTCGAAATGACGCAAATAACCTGATACATGCAAAAAGGCAAAAAACATAAAGCAAATTAAGAGGCCGTGTGAATATATTGGTACGACTATGGGTAATCAGTGGTGATTGAAACTATGCGTCAGACTGTGGGAAACGAGAAGACAGGAACATGTTGGACTAGTTTGAAGACTGTAGCAGATTTGAACTAAAGTGAGGTTTGTGTCTAATGTTACATAAGATCGCAGAGTTATGGGCGAAAACCAACAAACTGGCAGAAGAAACAGGCAGAGAAAACTGGACTCCAGGTGAACATAGAGAAGACGGGTTGGTGAAGATAACCAACCAACCAACAGCAACAACGAACGGTATCGATCACTATCAACGGTGGAAACTTGAAAGAGGTTACTTCCTTCACTTATTTGGGAAGCATCATTTCAACTACTGGCGGAACGGATGAAGGTCAGAATCGGAAAAGCAAGATGCACCTTTGTCAACCTGAAATCGGTTAAGAAAACCTCTGCACTTCATGGTATAAAGGGAAAAATTCGGATTTCCAACACTAATGTCAAGCCAGTTCTTCCAAATGGGTCAGGAACTTGGCGGGCGGGTCACCAAATCACTTCCAGCTGGCTACTGCAGACTTTTATCAGCACCTGCCTTCACTAGCTTCATCCTAGATATCAGATGACCGGCAAGAGGGAGTAAGCAACAAGGAACTCTGGGAAAAACCATTCACCAGCCTTTTTCTCAGATAATGTGTGGGAGAAAATGAAAGTATGTTGGACATACATTGAGGAAACTGCCGGTTGATGTTGCTTGTCAAGCCATCAAGTGGGACCGGGTATAAGTAATAAAGAGTTGGGAGTCTGACGGTGTCGCGGGGGAAGTCGAGTGAGGAGATGAGGGCCAATGGGCAACTGCAGGGCCAACTAAAGAGGCTGCAGAGAACAGGAAAAATTGGAATTGTGCCGTTGAAGCTCTATTTTCCACTCGGAACCCCATAGAATAGCAATAAATAAGGCTAACTTCATATTTAACTGAAGTTGATCAGTCAAGATTGATGTGATCAAAGGCAATGCTCTAACTTAACAAACATTTTATAGCCCTCCGCATGTTGAATAACAGTATGACAGATGATTCTGTTCAGTTGTTTGGTAACCATATTAGTTTCACTGGTGTTAGAAAAGTTCCTAGCTAGATTTATGATTCTGGTTGTGAAAACTGGGTCAATGGTAACATTCCTCGGGTCTCAAAGGGATTTATACCGGCTTAGTGACATATTCAAAAGCATCGTCATTAATTCGGTGGTGGTTCCGACTGTTATTAGCAATGTACCTAGGAGCAGTTCATTGGAGTAACTAGTTTTCCTGGAGTGAGCTGGAGGAAAAGCTGTAGAATGGTTTTCTCAATATTTAGAGGTCTCACTCCAAAGTCTAATTCCGAGAAAGCCGTCAAACATGCAATACTGTCATCAAAACATGTTTGAATGCAACAATAATTTAGGTGTTACTGTTTGAATTTTATCCCTGAATAAATTCCAGTCTTCATGAGTATTCTAAGGTATTTTATACTAAATCACTTTTCATGAAACTATGGGGTCGTCTTCTGTCGAATCAGACAATCGAGTCAGATCTCGAAAAGAGTGTATTAAAAGGGAATATTCAGTGCATTTGTTTAATTGCTAAAAGCAATTTGACGCAAAGTTCTCACATTGACGATTCGGGCTTCGAAATGACACCCTCTCGAGGAGCGTTAACCTTCTGAAGCTAATCTAGCAACTGACCATTGTACATAAAGCATTGTATATTCCCAAGAAAGCATGTACAAGGAGCTATTAACGTAAGGTTACCCATAGTCCTTACGATCATTGACACTGCCGTGATGCGAACAGTTAGACGACACAGGTTTTTCATCCGTTTCAGACGCAGGTGACGTCATAGCTATAGCTACTGTTACTTCTGGCTGGCGGAGGCCTATATCTCCAAATACTGATTGACTGAAAACCAGATTATTCTCAACATTATTACTTGTGGCCATTAGCTAATACAAAGCTACTTTTCCCTATATTCTGCCTTCGAAAAGTCGGTTCGGTGCAATTTCTGGATGTATCCCTTGGTTAGCATCTGCATAGACTGACTTTAGAAAATACCCACATTGTGTAGGTGGCACTCATCTCACAACATTCAAGATTAGGCCGAAATATAGCGCAAACCATAAAAGGGTCAAGTCAAAATTTAAGTACCAGTAAGTAGCAGTGGAGTGCGATCACACCAGTGGACTTGAATTTCTCGGTGAGAAAATGAGTGAAACCTGGCAAATAACATCTCATTCATGAATAAAATGGACTCAGTAAAGTGTTATGTCATAAAGCGTGATATCTGATAAGTTTCAGGCTAGGTCTTTGAAAGATTAAGTAAAGGTTCAGGCTGAGGACAGGTTAGGGCCATATTAATCTAATATGGGCTACATTATGATTGTTTTGAGTCAGGTCAGGGTTAGTTTGAAGATATTTTCATGTTAGGGTAAGGTTATGGGAAGACTAAGATTATTGTTAGGGTTAGAAGACCTAGATTAGTGTATGCATTGATTGTGGTTAAACTATTCCGCCGATAATTTAGTCCAAAAATAACAGGCATTTTTATGGCACGTCAGACAAGGTACCCTGTTTAACATTTTCATGTCTTTTAATTCATTGTTTTTGTGACTATTTGTATATTATACGCAAAGATCGCTTTTATGAGACGACTGGTGCGTTCATTGTTACTTGCTGGTGCTTGAAGTTTAAAGTAACCACAGAACTGCAGGCAAGATGGAATCCTACATTTATTTTCAAGATACAGACATAAAGAAACTGATTGATTTTGATTTACTCTGTAAGGGGCATTGAATATTGCATGACCTCTATTTGGGCGGTTCTTTTGCGACAGTTTTTTCTGTATGTTATTTAGTAAATATCTTCGGGGAGTTTGGTTGACTTGTGCTCTTATTTTACTCTGTACATGTCGCAGATCTGTCCTGTGCAGTTTCTTCGACATTCCAATAGTTGAAAACTTCAGGTATTTCGAAAATAATTCGGACATATTTGACGAGTCAACTGGTTTTTCCTATGACCCCCTGAGTCCTTTGGTTAAGTGCTCTTACCTTCCTCGTCATTCCATTTGGTGTGAGCCGCCTTTAGGTGGGTTTTATTACTGGTATTTAATCTACTAGATTTAAGAGGTAATAGGTCTCTGTATGATGAGATAAAATATGGATGTTTAAAATGGGGTGGGAGAACTGCGAATTCAGTAATGCTCACTTCGATTGTATGTCACGCTCTGGACAATATTGAGTGCTATGGAAATCGAACATTCTTGTTGCCAGACTACCCATGTTTACATTTCAAAGGCCACTATTTTGTGACAACGTTTATATACAGCTTACTGCTTGGCTTTCTTGGCGTTGATCGTTTGTGTCTTGGTCACATCGGAACAGGTATCGGGAAGCTACTAACTTTGGGTGGTGCTGGTATATGGTGGCTAGTGGACATTGTACTTCTTATCCGTGGAGATTTAAGTCCTGCAGATGGAAGCTCATGGATGCCTTTTTATTGATTCCTTGTAAAATTTATTATTAAAACTTGTCATTTATTACTGCTTTGTTTTCATTCAAAGGTTTTTGCTGGTTTAACGTGTATTTGGAGAGTTCAGTTATGTCACTCGCTGAATATCACATACTTGACGAGGACACCCAGTTTATGGAGAAGTATCCTAATGGTCTTTCTTTAGAAGACCTACTACCGTTTTACGATTCTGTCGCGAAAAACGAACCTCTCAAGTTAGAGTGGGTTTGTCCGGGAAAAATTGACCCAAATGCTCAGAGGGAAAGTAAGTCCAGTAGAATACTCTACAAATAAAGGAACTCTTCATCCTATTGTAGTAGCTAAGATTAATAGCCAGAATGTTTATATACCTGTTTCGTCATCTTATAAAACGAGAAATTCAAGACTTCCGAATGTAATATACTGACCATTGCAATGGCTAGACATTTTACACATAGTATCTCTTCCGTACAGTTTTGTTTTGGCCTACTTTGAAAATCAGAGTGAAACAATTATTGCCTGTGAAATTATTGCTGTAGAAGTGCATAGTATTCTAGTAATTATTGAAGTCGTATGTCCTAATTACGTTTCATCAGTTAAGTCGCTTATGCAGTATACTGAGCTGCAGTTATTTAGGTCTTCGAATTGAATTGAGTAATAAACATGGGAGGTATTCACAGTCGCTAAGAAATAAGGTTGTGAACACGCATTGGATCAAGATATCGTTTTATCTAATTCTTGTAAGCGTCTATTCAGTGTCAAAGCCGAAGTTATCCTTTGGAAGTCAGCTACTTATGATAATCACATCTTGATTTTAAGTGACACTGTAGGTTTTTTTAAGCGAAGCTGGTGCGTTGGTTGGATTTAACTCAGAATTATAACCCTGTCAGGGTTAACGATACGTGATATCATATCTTTATTGACTTAGTGACATAAAAGTTTGTGGAAAATTTTGGAAGTTATGAAAGTAAATTTAGGAAGTAGTACTTGTTGTTCGTGAATTTTCACACAAGTCGCGCTTCATACATGAATATACAGTAGTAACATGCAAAAATTCGCTTAGATTTTCACCTTCGTTTTCATAGTACATTAAATGAAACTAAAGATGTTTGTCTGCGTACAGAAGTTCAAATTATCCTCTGTTTACTGCTGCTGACACAATTAGTAATTAACAACAACTCATAAACATTTCAAAATGTAATTAACTAAGTGCTCATGGGACTGCTTTCTAATAGATAGGTGAACATTATACGTCCTACTATAAATGACAGTCGCTTCCAGCATATCCCAAAGAAATACTGGGAATTTTGAAGTGTCATTTTTGGTTGCCGATATTATCGAACTTTTCTGCAGACTTAAGTTGGAACAGTACAGTTGTGTGATCTCGTTATTGTGTTGAGTAGTTTAATGGTCCTAGGATGTGTAGAGCTTTTGTCGCTTCAAACGGGTGGATACTCAAAAATCCAGTGACAAAAACGTACCATTTTGCATATGTATACAAACCCAGATATTCAAGCAGTTTATTGGTTACACTGTCTGTAGCTAGTATGGAAGAAATAAATTCGTTCGACTTCATGTCCAGTCAGTATGTGGTCTGCTTTCCTTACGTTACGGTATTTGTTGATGTTGCAGATAAGTCTGCTGCGGTCTTATAAATGATCCGTTCACAGTAGTTCAGTAGGTTTCTTTTTATTAACAAATGCTCTTTGCTAATGAAGAGGGTTCAAATATATCTAGGTAACATACCTACTTTTAGTGTGCTATGTAAGTGTTATGGGTAAAACCGGATTTTGTTTTCGTTTGAGAAAGGTCTGCATTATCAAGTATTTGCAAAACTGTGTACTTATAAGGTCGTTAGGTATTATAAAGGTCTGGAATTTCACTGTTATTTTTGGCCAATTTTTTTGGTTTAAATTGTTAAAGTGACCCCATTTTCCCCAAACTTTCCAGGATTTGCTTCGTTCGAAGATCCTTGGAGTAACCAGATACATGTAATTACTTTGTAGAGTTGTTAACGTATGCTATGAATTTCGCAAAAATTAGTAAATATTCCAGCTATTGTTTGCCTAACAGTCAAGGTTTACTGTCACACATATTTGATGCTATGTTTGGCAGTGATTCGCATTGAATGAAGTTCATTTATACCTTGCATTACTTTGAATCTATACTTTTATTCCCGAAAATCCATTGCACTTTATTTTCCAAGCCTTGTTTGCCACTGGTTTTAGTACTAATCTCGTCACTGCGATTTTTTTACTGATTCAACTATATGAAGTACAGCTTTTCAATTTTCTGCTATGTTCTGACGGGAGTTTAACATTTCCTATGTGCTATAAGGTTTTAAAGAGAAACACCGCAGTAAGCAGGTGACTTGCTGTGCAGTGTCGGTCATATAATAGATGCATTTTGTGAATGCAGATGTTATAAGCAGCTACTACTTGTGGCTATGTAATTGCATAGAAGTATAGCCAAACACTGCATTTTGTATACCTTAGGTCATAATATTGTACGTAGTGGTTTTCGGTAGTTGTGGTTGCCTTAGTAATCGGTCTTAGCTCTGTTAATATCGTGTATGTCTTCGAAGTTTGTGCACCTTTTCCTTCTAAATTCCTCTTATTAACTCATGCTAAAAATTTATTTGACGCATAGCTTAGTACATCGACATACAAATGTTAATAGGATTATTCATATTTCTTCGGGTTGCACAGTTTACTATTTGTGGTTATATAGCTAAGTCACCGCTGCAAATAGTTAATGAACACTAAAACGTTGGCAAGTTAAATTACTAACGGTATCTCGGGCCTAGTGTTTCGGTTATTACCGTTGTTGTTTTTGATTTCTGCATGTCTGTTTTCATCGCAGTTATTTCCAAAGTCCCTTGTTCCGAGTGTAGATAGTAAGAAAACAAATTTAATGAAGGGGAGTACTATTGGACTAAACGAAATGTTAACTATAACTATTCAGTGTAAAATTGCTGAACGTGTGAATACTATCCCGATTAGAATTAAATGGTAGTTTTTCTAAGAGTTGTATCTTTTGTCAAATAAATGAGATGTAGTGATTATAAATAGTCAGTCAAGTTTTTATTTTCATTGGTTTCACAGTCAGTTCACTGCATATTCGGATCGTGCCCTACTTATGAAGCTGTAAGTTAGGATTACCTAGGTGCTGATGTGTATGAATCATTGTTAAGTTTCTAAATATCGTTTTTATCGGTATCTGACGGCAAAGTCCTACTGACCAAGTTATATTTTTGAAGTGTGACATTCTCGTTGCAGTTATTCCACTTAATCAATACATTAAGCTGCTGTTCACTGTCATTTAACACTCAAGAATTGACCTTGAAGGGTTATGTTTGTCAACAGTTCTTCTTGTACTTTCGTTTATGATAGCTTAGATCATTTTTGTACCTATTCTGTTTTTCAACCGTTTAGCCAGGAGTTTAAGCATCAATATATTTGTTTTGATAGACTATTAATAAAAGCATTGTCCATAATCTTATCGTAGCTGTAACTCGAAACGTATCAATTGGATTTTTGTGGCGGTGAGTGTTTAGCCACGTCACTTTTTTTGTTTCATCATAAAATATTCCTCTAGCATCGTGGTTCATTGACTTTAATTCAATTTCAAATCAATGGGTTGCAGGTGCATCTACTGGGGTTCTGGGATTGCCGGTAGTATCACTGACGTTTGTACAATATACTACGAAAACGCATATATTTTTGATAAGTTGCCTACATTTATCTCCTCCATAGATAAACAATATATTTACTGTTACTCTTTTTGTGATTTAAACTTGGCCCGTAGCTGCTATGTAATTCTGCATTCAATTTTTGGTTATAATATGACTATTCTCTTACACTCATCAATTCTATTTAGTGGTCGTGCTTCTCAGTATTTCCTAGAGTTGAATTACTTTACTGTTAAGCGTTCCAGCTTATCTCTTTCAGAAAAGCATTTAGTAATATACCTTTTTTTACCATATAATATTTCAGGTGTTCGATCATTATTTCATTTTACTTTTCAATTTTCTTACTACCTCAGCAACTAATGTGCATACAGAAGCGAATGATACTTCTCTTCCAAAGGTCTCAGAATCACTGTCTAGTATAGTAAAGTTGAAGGAGTTTGATTTTGATGAATCTACGAATCAACCATTAATTCCTGCTGTTCCACTTGGTTCTGCAGCACCAATTCGACGCCTCGCAGGTAGTACCAGAAACCCACCTCGTCAACCACGTGTAGCCAGTATGGATAAAATATTAAATGACTTCTTTAAGACGCGCAAAGAACCATCTTCACCTGTAGTTACTACAGAAGTTTCCACCACATCTGTTACTGCAAAATCGAATAGTCAGTCAATGGAATTTTCTCAAGCAACTCGTATTTCTTCTGAAACAAACAAAGAAAATCCTGAAGAAGATAAACAAGAAGCTCTTGCTGTTAAATTGGCAAAAACTTCAGTGTCTCCGCAAGTTGCTTGTAGCAGTTCAGATAATTTATCTTCTGATTTTGTAGCATCACACAATAACAGCAGCATACTACATTTTTCAACTGATCAAGGGAATCCAGTCTTCTGTAATTCAGATGAAAATGCACCTGACGAGACAAAAATGGAATGTAGTAAAAAGGAGGAGACAGAAAAGCTCGTGGACAACACAAATTCTTCTGATCCCCCTAATGTATCAGATAACCAAATGCCTCAGACAAATATTCATACTGTGCTTTAAGACGAGAACACATCATTCCGTTACAATCACTCAGCAGTATGATCTCCCCGACAATGAATTGACCACTTTCGTCCTCTTACTATAATAATGTATATATGTATTTAGAAACATTATTTCATCATGTTACTCAGTTTTTTCAAGGCAATTGTATACTTTTTTCTTCTAATAAATATTTAGTACGACTTCTATCTTTTGTATAATCATCGGACTGAGCATATTTTGGCCATGAAGTCATGAGTTCGAACCCAGTTCCATGTACTTTGTTGAAGATAACCAAATAGTGTCCTAAGTCTTATTAAGGTAAATATAGCTCATGCTCTTGTATATGAAACTTGTACCGGGTATATGCAAAGGATTGTTTGTTATGTTGAGTAGTGTAAGTGCACAACTTTTTCCTAGTCATAATTACTACTTTTAGTAGTGAGTGAATTATTATTATTTTTATTCCAAGTTCAAGAAATAGTGATATAGCATATTGTTAACTGAATATTTTGTGTAAATTTGGTCTGGAGCAATCAGTTGAACAAAATGTCTAAAATTTCTTCCTATTTCAGATGCATCTTGTTACCAACTTTAAGATTTTCTATCGATAGGTTTCAGTACACTGCACTAATATATTATATCGCTTAACTTAACTAGTGTATTCAAAAAAAAAATTAATCGATAAACTTTGTACAGCAATAAAAGATTAGAAAGCTCGCTGAGGTTATCATCGGATGACCGTTGATTTTACTTAATGCATTTTTGAAATTAAAACTGTCTAAGCTTACCGCTTCACAAGTAAAAATATGGAGTCTAACGGAGTCACTGAACCCCACAGTATAGAGCGTGATATCTTTGAGTTTTAATTCCTAGTCATCCTGAGGTAATAAGTGGTTAGTTTTATGGGAAACAAAAGATGGTAGTGTACCAAGTGTATAAGGGCTAATGATAGTACCCGGTAAGTGGAGCTAGTTTTGAACTCTTGGTAAAGCTGTTGAAAGTCGTGTACGTAAGACAAATTACATTTCTATGAATATTTTTCTTATATCACTAGAGTAAAAGGAAAGATTTCGAGTTACAGCGCATAGACTTTTGTACAATTATTGAATCATGTATTATATCGGTCCATGGTAATAGATTATAACATAATTCATAGGATTTTGTAATCCTGCTGTGGAAACTTTATTCATATCGATGAAACTAGGCTTAGTTACTCAGAAAAAAAAAGTTGTTTTGTGAAGAAATATAAGGTGGTCATATTACATAATTCACCAGCATAACTAAGTCTGTCTGTATGGATTCAACATAGAAATTGGCACCGAAGTGCAGCAGTTCGAGTTGCCACGCTCCAAATAGCACACAAAGGTAGACAAGAAGATGAGTGAAGAGAATCAATAAAGTTTTGACAAGTATAAGGGTGAAACAGAATGAGTAATGGTGGAAAGGAATATGAAAGATTACAGAGACTGAATACATCTGCGCTATTGACAGCGATTTTGAGCCATGTCATCTATTGTCTCCAGCCATTGATTCTTAGAGTCCCGAGGGCCCCAACCCGGAAGTCTGCATCTCCCTACCTGACTCAGTTTAACTGTCAAGGATTTCATGGATTGATGCAATGTTTTTGTTTGGCCACCACTTACTCTTTTGCAACCTGCACCTATATCAGCTAGTAATGCCCGTCGGGGGAGGCGATGGTCAGGCATACGCAGCACGTGACCTAGCCATCTCAATCTATGTAACTTTATAGCCTCTTCGATTGATTTTGCCTCTTTGCCCAACACTCTACGCCTAACGTCAACATTACTTACCTTATTATACCACCTAACGTGAGAAAGAGATCGTAGACATCTATAATCAAAAACAGTCAACATTTTCATGTCTAGCATAACTAAGTAAACATGGAAAGTCATTTATGGAACTCACATTTCTGACTAAACGTGTAAAATGTCTACTTCGATGTATTAATTAACTCTTAGTGTTAGGACACAATGTACGTTGTTTTCAGTCTTCATAGTTAAATCAACATAAAAGTGTTTAGGCAAGACGAAGGCTTTTATTTTTCTTCTTTCAACGCTTATACTACTTTCTACTACCTTCCCTGTTCACAATGGACAAAATTAGCCATACAATCGATCAATTCGCAACATCCCATATCAAAACTAAGAAAACAGGAAATGTGCATTTAACAAATATACATTAATAAGAAGAATATTGTATACTCTTTATTCAGTATTGTTAATATTATCACAGATTTCATCTTCCTTTCTTTGACTGAGCAAAATTTTATCAAACCGAAAAAAAAGAACAACCATGGAAGATGAAAACAATGTTAGATAGATGGTTAATCTTTAACATTTCTACGTATGAAACTGTGTGTGTATTGATCAATGAACACAAATCAATAAGTATATTGTTTAGATATACTAATCAAAAGAAAAAAAAGGAAAAGTGAGTAATAAAGTAGTTAGGAAAACATTATGGTTGGGCTATATATTAGCATCAGTACATATAATATGTATTACATACCATTTTTGTTTTATATTTAATACAGAGACGAATTTAGCCAGTTCTTCCTTACCACTTGAATAAAGATATGTCTGCATACATAAGAGGATATGTAAGTAAAATACGAGTTACTGTTTGTATACACATGTGAGTGCGTAAGCCAATTTTCGAGTACTTTTATATTAGTTCAAAATGGAAGAAAATACACGAAAGCGAAATTGTTCATTAAATTAAAACAAATAAGCGATGCAGACTGAATACTCTACTTAAGATAGATATTCATTACATCAGTGTGACGGAGAAGTCATTCAGTGTCTGAGTAGTATAAACCCGCACAATCTGTTTATTTTCTTAATTTTCTCCACTTCTTTAATTTTATTGTATTGACAGTTGAACACTGTTCAAGGTGTGTGTGCATATTTTAATCTGTTTGAATGATTGTGTGTGACGTAGGTGATCCATATTTATTAGTGAAGGAGTAGCAATAATAATAGTAATAATCATTACTACTTATTTTTTTATTACTCATAAAATATGAAAACAAGAAAATTTAGCTTCAAACAGGTAGAAATTACCTCATAATCACTACCTGCTTCAATTTGTTGCCTATTCCAACACATTTAAACACAGTTTCCCTCTCTTTTTTAAATTGTACATGGTTTATTTATACATTAAAATGGATAAAGATTGTGTTGTGAACGTTTACGTTGTGAATTTTTTGACTTCTTATGTCGATCATTTGAACTTGTCATCATGTCTGTAGATGATTTTGTTAATGATGGTAGAAATGGTCGTAGACCAATTGAATAGGCTTGTGTAATTTTACGTAAATTCAAGTCATGTTGATGTTGTTGATGTGATTGTGAATTGTTAGTATTTTTTGATGAAGTTGACAAATCAATTGATGGTTCAAAGACAGCAATATTATTATTTCCTGATAGACTTTTTGCTGAACGTGTTCTCTGAATTTGATTTAACTCATTGTTCATTCTGTTTTAATTTTTAAAAGAGAGGAGACAAAAATAAAACGGGTGATTATATGGTATATCCCATTTTTTGAAGTAGCGCCACCTGATTTATCCGGTGGGTATTAGAACGTTTCAATAAATAGGTCAGAATATACCAGCATTATTTCGGGGGGAAATTCAATAATATACGTTTAACTTTTGAACTTACTGCCTCCATTTAATCTACTACACTGAGTAGATATCAGTGTCAAGCGACATTTTCTGATGCAAGTACAGTAAATGTAACTCAGTTCAAGAGCATAATGCCACCGATAATATGTACGCCAGAAAGAAATTTTTTAATGTGAAATTTCATCCAAAAAGGATACAAAAGATATAGCTTGTCATTAAAGCACCATAGCAACGGGATACGACGCTACAATTAGCGGGGATATGCAATAAAGCCACTCTTAAGAAAAGCCATTGAGGGAGATCCATTTAGCTGAATGGTATACGAGCTTGCCTTGTACTCGGAAGGTCCTGGGTTGGAATCCCAGTGGGTGCGTACTGCCGATGATCCCCAAACTAAGTTGATAAGACAGCTGTCCAGTACTCCCTGGCTTTCAATGGTTCTCTAACTGATATTAATCCCTGGTCATATTCGAAAAACCAATCAAATCTTTACGAATCAACTCTTGAAAAATTAATCTGATGCTCGCTAGTGACTTGCTACAGGACGGAGTTTCCTGGAGTTCTAGTGAAAAGTCGTGACTGGTGAGGTGCATCCAGTCGAGATGTGAGGATGGATTTCAGCCGATGACATTGGTTGGTGGTCGCGCTATAATCACGAATTGGTAGAAGTTAAAAATCATGGGCCATTGAATCGGGTCCCTGTGGCTGGATGTTATACGAGCTTGCCTTGTAACCGGAAGGTCCTGGGTTCGAACCATGGTGGTGGGTGTGTACTGCCGATGATTCCCAAAATTTTTTAATGCAAAATATCATTTAAAAAACATATAAAAATTATAACTTGTAATTAAACAACCATAGCAACGGACTGCAAGGCTACAATTAGCCTTGAGGGACATACAATAAAGTCACTCAAATACAAAACGAGTGAAAACATTAGTGACTGTAATAAATTTTTTAATGGTGGATTTTTATGTTTTGTGGCTCTCGTCAAAATTACAGCGCCGATTAAATAGTGTATAACTGACCTAACGTAAAATGTCATTTGTTAAATGATCAAAGGGTAGGTTGAATAGCAAGCACTTCATATGACCTACTTTCAATTGTCAGGTACTGGTTAACTAACAACTTCAACACAATCCAAAAAGTTTATTGACAAACTAAACAACTAAGGTCGTATCGAAAGGTATATCAGTTGACAATATTACATTTTACTAACGAATGTATGAAAAGATTACAGGTTTATTACAGTTAAGTGTTTTTCTTCTATTGGTACGCATGAAGTGGAATAACACAGTAAGCAACGTTTAGACTGTAAATATTTATCATTTAAGTGGTTAGGATAAGTGTTGTGCAGTATACTGCTTTCTTCGGAAAGCAATATGGTAATTTGAAATGGTACAATTACGTGATAGATTATAAATTGGACTATTGAACACTGCCTCACTGTACGAACAACAGTTATAATAAAGAAAAAGTCATATGCATTTAGAAGTAAAAATAAAAGTTGTAAGTTACGTAGTACTCAATGGCACGCAGCTTCACCAGAGTCGT